ATGGTTGGTTCCATGGCCTGGTATGGCATGCCTTGGATCGCTAGCCTGGTATGTATGGTTTGCTATGCCTGGTCTCTATGGCTTGCGGATGTATGGCTTTGTATGGTATGGCATGGCATGGCAGGGCTGGTATGTATGGCTTGGAAGGTATGGCTGCAATGCTATGGCTTGCTATGGATGTATCTATGGCGTGGTTAGGTATGGTATGTATGGCTTGATATGTATGGCTTGATATCTATGGTATCTATGGCTTGATATCTATGGCTTGATATCTATGGTATCTATGGCTTGATATCTATGGTATCTATGGCTTGATATCTATGGCTTGATATCTATGGTATCTATTCTATATCTATTTTCTGCCTGTTTCAGAGTTTAGACCAGGGGGGGTCCAAACCTTTTTCACTGAGGGCCACATACAGAAAAATATGCGAGAGGTTGGGCCACTCACTAAAGTTAAAGTATATCACCTCTAGTTTATTAAAAGTAATAAAAATCAATCAATCAAATGTAGGTGAATTATGCTTGATAATGTATTATACTTACAGAAAAAACTGCATACATCACATCTTTCTATGTATGGGTTTTCATTTATCTATTTTCAAATAAAATCAATCAAATGTAGGTAAATTATGCTTGATAATTGAATAAATCACATCTCTCCATTAATAGGTTTTCATTTTTTTTACAAAAAGGGTTGGCAGCTCATCCTCAGATTGCTTCTTCGTCAGGATGGGGACCCCCTTCACAGCCCTGTATAAAGAGCGAAGGCTTTATTTAACCTACTTATGCAAATCATTCATCAGCTAACGTGTTTTAGAAAATGTTATCAACTTTAATTGACTGCATTTATTAAGTAATTGGGCTTTTGAACACATGAATACTGTGTAATATATTCTAACTCGCCTACAATGGGAACAGTGTTGCACTTAATGGGAGCAGTGATGCTGCTCTGGACTGAAGGACGGCTGGCAGGTCACGAGTAAGTTTGCTGGTTGAGATGTGAAGGACATCACAGAGACGGCTGTCGCTCATTTTGGTTCTCAATCTGCTTTTGTTCAGAGTTCACAGAGAAAATGTTTGCTCGCATATGTATGTTGTGCCAAACAGACTGGTCATTCTTTTTGCGTGGCGTCGCATCAGAGGAAACTTGGCCTTTTCCAAGCTCCGGTAGAAGTCGGGTTGGGAGAGGAGCTGCATCTCGATGAGTTCTAATTGCAGACTCTCTTCCACTTCTTCTGCATCCAGCAGGAAGGGAGTTGAGAACAGCTTGATTTCTTTCTCAATGACAAAAACATCTTGGAAGCGCTGATTGAATTGTGTCATAAGAGTTGTGATCACAGAAACATATTTCCCCTTTTTAGCAGAGAGGTCGGCCTTTGGATGAGCACGTTTGATTTCGGACAGCGTAGGGAAGTGCGCAAGGTTGAAGTTGCGTAGTTGTGTCTCAAAAAAGACGAAGCTTCGCACAGAAAGTTGTGGGACAAGCTGGTCTTTGCCTTGTAGGCTCTTGTTCAGTGAGTTCAGATGACCAGTAAGATCAACTAGAAAGGCAATAAGGGAATAAAACCGCTTCAGCACGGAGCCGCGACTAAGCCAGCGCACGTCACAATGATAGAGTACGTCCCCGTATTCAGCATCGACATCAGATAGGAAAGCTTAATTCTCTGTGGTAGAGCCCTCGGGCTCGAATTATGTTGACTGTTTTCACAACTGTGGTCATCACATCGCCAAGCTGGACTGTCTTGGCACAGAGAGCTTCTTGGTGGATGATACAGTGCAATTTTACAGCCTCGCCTCCACTCTCTGGCACCTTGGCGCACACCATGGATGCCATTCCTTTGGGCTCGCCTGTCATAGCGGGACTCCACGCAGCTCGGCCCATTTAAGTTCCATCTTGTCAATTGCACCTGACACGGCTTCAAAAATGTCCTCACCCGTTGTTGTGCCCTTTAGACTCTGAAGATCAATGCAAAAGTTATCGTCAACTCCGCGCAAAGAAATGAACAGTTGTGCGGCGTCTGTTGCATCTTTCATCACATGCAATCGGGTAAAAGTCAAAAGCACAAGCTTTATGTGACACTTGATTCTGTATGTTAGCTGACAAGTCTTCCATTCAACGCACAATTGTGTTTGTGGACATGCTCACGTTGTTGAATTCCTGCATCTTTTCCGGGCACATTATTCCAGCACTTTAATGAGGCACTGTTTAAAGTCAGCGTCTGAGAAAGCTTTCCCGCGGCGCGCTATGAGTTGAGCTACCTCATAGCTAGCTATTGTAGCGTGAACATTTTTTAGCGTGAAACATTTTTTTTGTGGAAAAGCTGCATTAGGACTGCAGCTAGTGAGTAGCTCCACCTACTGGTCAAACTAAGAACTACAATACAGTCAAGTGCAAGTTTCACGTGGGGGCCACGTTCCATTCTATTTTTATAATTTGCTGCGGGCCAATAAAAAATGGATCCCGGGCTGCAGTTGGCCCGCAGGCCGTACTTTGGACACCCCTGGTTTAGACTGTAAAACATTTATTCCAGCACCTGTATTTCATATTTTATGAAGCCTACATGACAGTTTACTACATTACATTACAGGTCATTTAGCAGACGCTTTTATCCAAAGCGACTTACATTACATCTTTAACCCATGGCTTTTACATCTTTGCCCAGGGACACAGGGGTTAGGTGTCTTGCTCAGGGACACTTCGACATGGGGCAGCCACGACTTGAACCACCAACCTTGTGGTTTCCAGCGCACCCTCTCTACCCCCTGCACCACGACGACCCCACTAGAGGTTAGAGGTGACAGTAAAGTGGTTTACTGGATGAAGTCTGGTTGGAATTAGCTCCACCGTGACCAAACAGTAAAATGCATCAGAAACAATCCCAACATTTTGTAGATAAAACAAAATGATCTAGCTAACCTTTCAACAAGCCCACGTCGTTTCTGTGTTGGCTTTTTATTCTCACATTGTGATGTCGTGTTCTCCACTTCCCTCAAATGTGTGTAAATCAGAAGCCTGTCAGTCTGGAGACACACAATCAGTCTGCAGACACACAATCAAAGTCTGCAGACACACAATCAAAGTCTGCAGACACACAATCAGTCTGGAGACACACAATCAAAGTCTGCAGACACACAATCAGTCTGCAGACACACAATCAAAGTCTGCAGACACACAATCAGTCTGGAGACACACAATCAGTCTGGAGACACACAATCAAAGTCTGCAGACACACAATCAAAGTCTGCAGACACACAATCAGTCTGCAGACACACAATCAGTCTGCAGACACATAATCAAAGTCTGCAGACACACAATCAGTCTGGAAACACACAATCAGTCTGCAGACACACAATCAAAGTCTGCAGACACACAATCAGTCTGCAGACACACAAGGCACGTGCCTGCTTCGCGCTGTATTTTCGCGCCATTGCTCCTCTCTCTCCCTCTCTCTCTCTCTCTCTCTCTCTCTCTGTCTCTCTGTCTCTGTGTCCCCCATCGCAGAAGAAGGGGACACCCGCAGGGAGGAAGTTCATCAATAACCGCCCTTATTCCGACAGGTAACACGCGACCTCCACACAACAACCATATTTATGGTACTAGTTTACTGTTTAAGCCAGTTTATCTGTCTTTGTTCTCCATCATTGAGGCAAAGTTAGCTTAGTTAGCATGTGTAAGGTGAGAGGAAGCTAGGCTAACGTGTGAAACGAGTGGAGGAACACGGTGAATTTAGACAAAGACCTCGTCAGGAAATGTAGCGTTAGCTTCAAAGGTTTTATCACGTTTGCTTACGTTCGAGTGTTAATTGGCTCATGTGTTGACAGCTAACGTTAGCTCAACGTCAGCTAGCTTAACGTCAGCTAGCTTAACGTCAGCTAGCTCAACGTCAGCTCGTACAGAACGTGCGTAACGTTACATTTTATAGCAACTTGCTAACGCTAGCTGATTTACAGCTACGCTGGTGGTAGAAGGATTCACAGCACATCTGGCAGCTGTTGTAAAAGCAGCTAGCATCACCCACCTGTGATGGACCGTGAGACAGACGAGGCATAACGTGATGAAACGGGTGTAACTACTTTGGTTGTTTTGGGGGGTGAAGGGAACCCTGTGAGTGTTCTGATGTGTAAACATTAGCGGTGTCAAAGTTAAGAGTATTGTGGCCGAGATTGATGCAATAAAATATTTGAGCAGTTAAAAATGTATTAATGCTCATTGAGTCTTAGTATGAATAAGAGGGGTTGCTCGCTACTTAGGACATAGACAGCAATGTGTGTTTCTCGGGTTGGTGATTGATCACAAAGTGACAACATATCGACTGTATTAATGGGAACATTTCAGCCAATAGCAGTACTGTATAAATCTAATTTACTTAAGCAAAAGCTACTAGAGGCTGTACTTTATCGTCCATTAATGTAACAGTTCAGAGGTGCGTCTCTCCTTCTGGTAGGTTTATTTGTCAGGTAAAGTATCAGCGCTGCGTTTGCAAAGGCAGGAGCAGTTCTGTCGCCCGCAGGCCGGAACAACAACCGACTAACAACAGGAAGAACGTTAGATTTTAGATTTCTTGTTAGATATAAAAGGAAAGATCTCCATTGGCCCTGAACTGGCGTGGAGGAGGTGCAGGTCCTCTCGCTGCAAGACTAGATCCAATCACATGCAATGTGTGTCTCCTGACATTAATGTGTGTGGCGCCTGCAGTGTCTCTAGCTCTCATCCTTATCAGACCTGCGTATGCCTGGTTGGCACTTTCTGCTTTGACCTCTGACCTTGCACTCCACAAGAGAGTGACTCCCTAAATGAGAGCTGTGAAAGAGATTCCGATTATCACTCTGTTTGTCTTGCAGAGACATTATGGAGATGACTGACAGCTGCACTCAGCAGCAGGACGGGGACGGAGACGAGCCAACCTCGGACGACTCTGTGAGCCTGTTGTGCGATCTGAGACCCTGGCAAAGCAGCAGGGGGGCCCAGGACATGGAGGTGGATGAGTTAAAGTCACAGTTTGGCAACGAAAAGGAAGTGGTGACGGAGATGAATGCACTCAAAGCCCCCGTGTCAGGGATATGCAGCTATGCCCAGTCTGCAGCAGGCTGTGCTCATTCTACGTCAGGGGATTGTGAGTTACAAACCACTAAAGCCTCCGTCTGCAGAAGCACGTTGCTGCTAATATGACTTTCTCTGTTGTCGCAATAATTAGTCAGATAAGAGGAATCACATTCATAAAGTATGACCAGCGCCTCCGATTTGTGTTCATACTTTATACATTCATTTATTCCACAAATATTGATATTTTCTTTTTCCTATTTGTCGGCAGCAAAGGTCTCTCAAAGTGTGAAAGTGCCCAACAAGAGGCAGGTCAACAAGAGGAATGGGTTGGGGGAGACCCTTCTGCACAGGGCGTGCAAGAAAGGCGACCTGGCGCACGTCGAAGCCCTCATCCGAGCCGGGGTCAGCGTCAACGCGCAGGACTTCGCAGGTCCGTCACACTCGTTCCTTTTCCACTGCGACTACTTCCGTGTCCGGACATCTGTCACCTTCTCACCGGTAGATGTTGACTTTGACTTGTCAGGCTGGACCGCTCTCCACGAGGCCTCTGCTGTCGGCCTGGAGGCGGTGGTCGAGGAGCTGCTGAAGGCCGGAGCCGACGTTCACGCCAGGAGCTGTGATGGCGTCCTGCCCCTGCACGACGCCATTTGCGCTGGACACTGTCAGGTGAATCTTTCCACCCGCCCACGTTCAACTAAAGCCTGGGTGTTGCTTTCAGACTAAAGGCCGCCGCGTGTTTCTGTGTCGTGTCGACGCACTGGTTTCACTTCCTGGTTGTAAAGTCCTGCGTGTGTTGCAGAGCGATTCACCTCCAGAACAACAGGTGGAGTCACGTGTTTTGTTGAAGACGACCTGGAGAGTCACGTCTTTGTGTGTGGAAGTCGCTGGTTGCTTTATTTATTGATCATAGACTTTATTGCCCCGTGCATCCACACTGCTGCTCTTCATCAAGGACACATTTGTCCCGTATTTTCCTCCACGACTTTATTCCCCTCGTTGGTGGAGATCTCCCTCCACGAATCAGAGGCCATCCGCCGTCCTCATAGTCCGCCAATGACGGCTTGTACTAGTGCTCATATTTACACATTTCTTCAGACTAAAGCTCTTCAGTCTGATCCGCTCTCTCGTAAACGTTCTAAGCAGACCAATCGCAGCCTGGTGCGCTGCGGGAGGCTGCGTCGCTTTTGACCCTACAAGGGACGACACGCTAGGGACATGCAAGGACACGCAAGGGGCTCCTGTGTCTGCGTGTCCTTGTGTCTCTGTGACAACGCAGAAGCATAAACTAGGCTTTACAAAGCTGATGTAGCTCACTGGTATCTCTTTTCTTCCTTAAAAACTCACCGCTGGATCCCAATTCCCCTTTTTCTTATCTTATTTCATCTATCTTTAATCTGTGGCTCTTTTCCTTTAGATTGGACATGTGTGCATGCTTAGATGATACCGCTGTAGGAGACCACAGTCCACGCCGCTGAGTCCTCACATATTTCGCCCAGGAGATTCCTTCTTGTTCAGGAGAAACCGGTGTGGAAGTGTCTTGAACCTGCAATCTTCTCAGCTGACCAGCAGGGGGCAAAAGATTCCCTGTTGTAGAGAAGAAGCCTGAGGAAGGGACTACTTCTGTCCTGGGCTCAATTCAAATTGTCAAAGGTTCTTAGGAAGATTCCTTAACTTTACGGAGTCTCACGTCTCCGTTTTCACAGCACAATACGGCCGTTATTAAAAGGAAGAACGTTCACGAGAGAGCGGATCAGACTGAAGAGCTTTTGTGGGAAGAAATGTGTAAATATGAGCGCTTGTACAAGCCGTCATTGGCGGACTATGAGGACGGCGGACGGCCTCTGATTCATGGAGGGAGATCTCCACAAACGAGGGGACAAAGTCGTGGAGGAAAATACGGGACAAATGTGTCCTTGATGAAAAGCAGCAGTGTGGACACACGGGGCAATAAAGTCTATGATCAATAAATAAACCCACCAACGACTGGCATCCCGTCCATCAGGACTGCGTAGCTTGGTGGAAGAGTCCTAACCGCCTTTCCTTGACCCGGTGACCTTTCCCACAGAGGTCGAGGAATAGATGTTATGTCTCATTCTTGGACAATCCAGCTTTGATTTATTCCCTCTGTAAACATTGTAAATTGAGTTATTTGTCTCAGCCTCTAGTGTCGAGTGTTTTTCCACCCAGCATGATGGTCATTTGGTAAATAAGTGGACTTGTTTGAACCGTCAGGGAAAGTTAGTCGTTAGCAACGTCAGCCCAATAACGGCTTTACCGCAGAATGTTACCGCGCTGTGAATGTGGTTCTGGGACACTCACCAGTTACGCGTACATGCAGAGTTTCCCACAGGTCCTACGTCAGTGTGTGTGTACGACAAACATCGCTAGATAGAACACAATGCACACTATATACAACTCTCATAGCTGGAGCACACATTTCACACCCTGTACTACTTGTTGCAGCACATGCAAAGTCTGCAACTTCTGTCAGAGCAACGGATTTTGCGGCGCTTGCTAAAAAAAGACACGTGAGACAGACGTGTGTGTGTGTGTGTGTGTGTGTGTGTGTGTGTGTGACACAGACAGAGGGAGAGCAGGGAAAGGAAATGCAGCTGAACGAATACGCTGCGTGATTTAAATAGCGTTAAAATTGTGTGGCGGCACAACGCCACAGATTAGTCTGTGTGGGAAACACTGACATGTACTTTCCATTGCAATGGGGTTGTTAAACAGAAACAGCAGCTTTTAAGAATCAATTGGAATTGCAAGTCTTTTTTTCTGTTGTGTTGTTTTTTCCACCAAAACACTGAAGACCGGAGCATTTACTTTGACCTCGTCTTTTATATGTACGCTTCTCGATGCCAGAGGCTCCCTGACATGATGTTGTCGTGCAGGTAGTGAAGCTCCTCCTCCAGTACGGATCAAACCCCAGCGACAGGACGGGGGCCGGCCTCAGTGCACTGGACCTGGCCGGGGAGGGCGAGCTCAGAGCGCTGCTCTCTCTCCCAGTACCTCCTGTGACTGGCGAGCAGCCGCGTGAAGCCCCTGCACTGCGCGGACCAGCAGGTGAGCTTCCTCACGCTCCCATCCGAATGTGATCGGAGCCTATTCCTTTGACATGCCTATGATCCGGATTCCATGGCAGCTCTGCCAATACGTATCAGACGGTCCCCTCCTGCGCGGCCTGCTGTGACGGGCCGACGCTCTGCTGATGTCGGCACAGGAGGTGAAGTGGTGTGGATGGTTTGATGCCTCATGTCGCTGAGAAAGCTTGAAATACTGTACAGAGGTGAGCGTTGGATGGCTTCCCCGTCGGCGTGGGATCCTACAGCTTTGGGGGGTGTCACAGCCACCAGCTGATCTGCGTAGTCCAAGGATCTTCCCTCTGACATGCACATATCTAAAACCCATATATACTATATCTATATATTCACATTTTACTGCAGAGGCTTTAGTAAAGACACACATATGTATATTATATATACCCTTTCACAGGCGGCGTAGTGGCGTGGCGGTTAGCACTGTCGCCTCGCAGCAACAAGCTCCAGGGTTTGGCTCCGCCCAGCGGCTTCCTCCTGCCGCCCAGAGACGTGCTGTGGGGCTTAGATGCCTGTAGGGGCCCTATTTATAGATATTTAAACATTATCAAATGTCTCAATATGTATAATAAGAATTAGCCTTATAGATAAAATTGTGCTGTGTGCTTTTCTGATTGTATCCTACTTTTAGACTTCTAAGTTTAAACTCAGTAGCATCACTACTGAACTCGTTAAATAATCTACAGAATGGGATTCACTTCTCCAATGCGTGCCATGAATCTACGTGTAACTTGCATTGATTTATTGTTTATTAGGAAATATATATTATATAATATATATATATATATATATATATATCAGAGCTGAAGGACTCTTTCAGGTGCCGTGTCTCCAGAGACCTGCCGGCTTAGCTGCAATGACGCGCCGAGCCCCACGTCCAGAGACTCGGGGGACAGAGGCGTCCAGCCGGGGAGGAAGGACACCAGCGCGGATGGCGTGAGGCCTCTTTGCACTGAATGGCCTTCCACTCATCCATGCGGGGCACAGGTTCCCTCGTTTGACGCCCTCCTTGTCTCCTAGTGTTGTTCAGAGGGCCTGCCGGTGGTTCTGGAGGAGGTGGGGAGGACACAGACGGAGATAGCGGCGTGGCCCCTGGCGGGTCCCGTGGATGCAGGTAGAGCAGCTGCCATGATAATCATTAATATACACATACATTAATATATGCACACCAAGCGGATCAGAGCATCTCCTGCTGGTAGTGCTCATGCAAGTGAGATGACCTGCCAGTCAGCCTTTCCAGTCGACCTCGGGAGCGATGCTGGCTGTGTCTGTCTTCCAGGCCGATATCATGCTGCTCTGATGCAGATCCAGAGCGTGCTGACGGAGGTGGTCACCTGGCAGCAGCTGGAGAAGGACAACCTGGCCCTGAAATACCGGTCAGTCTCTCATCCTTCACTTGAGCGAAGCTTTGTTTGAGAACATGGCAGAATGCCTGAAGGTCGCTGCTCATCATGAACACCGGTATGTATGTATGCTCGTTGTTGCATATTGGCCATGAATGTTTTCTCTAAGGGGCCCAGAGACGACGCTGTCCTTACAGCTACAGAACTCATTATAAGAGTATAATGCGCTGGGTTGAAACCACGCCCCCTCGCAGCGACTCAGGGACAGAGAGACGCACAGCGTCAGAAAGCAAAAGAGAAAAGACACAAGCAGGCAAATCTGGGCTTAAAGCACTACGGTCGGTCAGGAAGAGGGACCCAGTGAGTGAGATTCTGCCAGCTGAAAGTAGCAAGTATGAAGCCCACTAATGAAAGAGACACTAAGGAGAAAAAACCACGATCACGTGGACAAGCCCCTTGAGTTATTCAGGGTGGGAAATATATGTTGTTTGCACTTTTATGTGGCATACTTATTTGAAACTGTGGTTTGAAAAACGTTTTCCACTAAATTTACTTACAACATGTAATGAAACCTTTAGGTGGAAGTGACGCGATATGTACTTATTTTCAGAGGTGTCTAGTAACAAGCACAAATACTTTGTTAGCTTACTTAAGTAAACATTTTGGGGTTCTATACTGGAGTATTTTTTTGACTTCTACTACTTACATTTTCATGTGAATATCTGTGTTGTCTACTTAGGTTTTAAAAATAGGCTCATTACTTCCATTTCATTTTGGCTTGTCGTCGTTCCAGATAATTGTGGTTGGATGAGAAGTATAAACATTGATCATTCTGACACCCTATTGGTTTTTTCGTGATGCACCTCCAGATAACACAAATCAGAGCGACGCCGTGTGCAAAAAGTGGTCTCTGGAAGGTTCCCCTTTCAGAACGCAGGTTGGGTGGTTGGTGGCTGGTTCCTCCGCTGGTTGGTGGCAGGTTCCTGTTCAGATCGGCAGGTTGGGTGGTTGGTGGTGTTTAAAATAACAGTAACAATTAAACAACAGTGTCTAAAATAGACTTTCTAAAGTGGTTTATTTTTAAGATTTATTCTTAATGAAAAACATTTATTAACCTCTTCAAAACCGCCCTTTTTTAGGCCTCTGCTCAGAATTTGCATACACATTTTTTAAGAGTATATCTGTGCAACCTTAGAGTGTATTTGAATGATTTGTGTGATGTACTAGAAGGGAACGCCTATATAATTTGTTCAGATGTGTAAATATTAGTGTATTTGTTACTGGTTAAGAGTAAATTTTAGGATTTAGGTTTTAGGATGTTTACCACTTTGGAATGATGCATTTGCAGCTTTAACGCTCTCCCAAATCATAGCCTCATACATGGACATTGTCTCTGCAAACTGACTTTGATTAAGTGAAGCAGAAGAAAATTAGAGCGTTTTCAGTATCGACAGTTCAGGCAAGATCTCCAGAATAGGGACTTTGGCACATCTGTGCCATTTGAACATCTTTCTTAGCTAGACAGCTCAGGAAAGAGAATACTTTTGACTATTGTTTTAAAAAGATTTCTTACCTCACAGGACGTTAACGTGTCGTAGAGTTACAGCCAGATATGCGGCGGGTGGGATGACTGGGCGGCATTATAGGAATGTTGGAATCTTGTAATTCATTTAGTTGTGTGGTTCAGTGTTTGGAGCATGTAGAAATGTCTCACATGTCTTGCTCTTTAATCTGACATGTGACTTCAAATGTAACTTTGTGATTAGTGACTTCATTAAGGCAGTTATTTGCTATGTCCTCTCCCAGCCCCCTCCAGAGGGGCTTTGGGTTTAAGAGGTTAAAAACAACATTCATTAACAGAGATGAATGAATTTCAAAATGTGTGATTAATTAGTTGTTTTTTTAATCTATTGACAGCCCTACTTTTTTTTTTTTATAACCGTATCTTTTATTTTATCTGAAGCATCAGGCCTGTTGTGTCTCTCTGCAGGAGCATGCCCGGCTGCCTTCGCCAGCGCCTGCTGAAGAGTCAGCTGGTGTCCCTCGCCTGGCGACAGAGGACCATTGTGGACATCCTGCAGAAGCAGCTGCGTTTGGTGGAGCTGTACGTCACCACGGAGGCCAAACCTTCCACTCGGCCTCCCCACCGTGGAGGGTCCGGACCACGCCGCTCCAACAGACCGGTTCCCCGGACCACCGCGCTGAGAGCGGCGCCTCAGAGTCACGCCGCAATCGCTTGGCCTTCTGCACCTCGACCAACCCAGCGGAGGAAGGCTGCCCCGCCCACCGATGTGCCAAAAGGGGATGCCGGGATCTTGGGGAGCAGAGCCAAACAACCAAGAAAGACTCTACAACACGTCCACTTTCAGATAGAAGCAGATAAGGAGCTGGTACAGGGCGGCGACAGCGGCGTGCGCCTGTACCGGCTCGTGCAGACGGGAGTCTTGGCGCCTGGAAGTGCTCTCCAGCTGCTGCTGAAGGTTAGGAAAAGCTTTTCTCATTGAGCCCATGACTTTTAAGTCTCATAGCTTAAGATGTTCATTGTGGAATTCAGAGCATACCTGTCATTGGCAGGTTGCCTCCACACGGCTCCCAGCGGGGTGAAGCTAACAGCGCTAACAGAGTGAACATCAGCTAAACGTCTCTCCCGTACCGCTCATACCGCCGTTACGCGTCATCACATGGCGCCCATCGGCTGCAGCTACTTGTCTTAACATTATAACAACAATGAATAACCCACAACAAACACTCTTTAACAAACAGCTCGTGACACATAAACAATTTGTTACACTAATAATTGTACATTTATAAAAATGACCCCATGCAACTGCATGCTGGGTACAGCTGACAACACGAAGTAACTGTTGCTACATGAAAACACGCAAACAAGGAGACCAGAGATGCACAACACACAACTTGTGCCCAAGAGACCAGCTGTGTCAGGCTTATCGGTTAGATCAGAAAACCATTCATTGCCACAGCATGTATGTGTTACGCCCCCCCCCACAGAGAAAACAGCATGTGTGTGTTACGCCCCCCCCCCCCTAAAAAAAAACCCGGGATGGTTTACCCCCCCCCCCCATTTAAAAAACAATTCCTACAGTTACTGGGCCCCTGTGGCGGGAAAACTCTAATCGCAGTAGCGTACCCTTCCCAAAGCAACCACTGCCTTCGGAGGCTTTGACTCTCGCCTCTTTTCCCGCGCCATGGGTCATTGCTATGGAACTCTTTGTTAAGACTCACAGCACGTGGGAAGCCCAGGACCGGTAGCTGCATGGAAGATTCCGATAGTTTATGAGGATCCTGCTGGGCCTCGAATCATTCACGTTTGCCCCCAAGACCTGCTATTCTTACTGCTGGCTGGGGCAGGAATAGGATCTCTATCCGAGTTCCCGACTGTGGGGAGGATGATATATACACATACATCAGAACCATGGTCTGGGAAAGG